TGAACTCCACCTGGTATGATCCCTCGGGGTCCTGGCTGGACACCCGGCGCACACCCTTCCGCTACGGCTACAACACCTGCTCCTCGGGGTGCGACGGCGAAGGCGTTGAAGGCATGAGGGGGCACAACTATCGGCACTATGGCTATCGGCAGCCAGTCTGCTCCGAGAGATGCCACGGCTATGCTGCAGCTGATTCGTGCCACGGAGACGGGGGCTCAAGCTGTGTCAGGAGGCCCACATACAGCTATGGGTCATCAGGGGGATGCCACGGCTACGGGAGGTCGGTCTGCTCTGAGAGATGCCATGGGTCCTCAGGTTCGTGCCAGGAAAGTGGTTCAAGCTGTGTCAGGAGACCCACATACACCTATGGGTCATCGGGAGGATGCCACGGCTATGGGAGATCAGTCTGCTCCGAGAGATGCCATGAGACCTCAGGTTCGTGCCAGAAAAGTGGTTCAAGCTGCGTTAGGAGGCCCACATACACCTATGGGTCATCAGGAGGATGCCACAGCTACGGGAGATCGGTCTGCTCCGAAATACACCATGGATCAGGGTACCAGGGGGGGAAGCCGTGCTACAGCAAGCCCACGCAGTGCATCCCACAGTGCTGCCCGGTGCAGACCTGTCCCCCTCCGGTGCAGATCTGTCCCCCTCCCGTGCAGACCTGTCCCCCTCCGGTGCAGCAAGGCTGCGTGCCCGTGGCAAAGTGCATCCCAAGGCAGCAGCAAAAGCAGGTCTGCAAAGTGCCGGCCCGGAAGATAAAGTAGAGGACACGAGGAGTGGGGTTGAATGAGAGAAACATCTCACTCTTGCAACGTTGCCTTGATGGCCAGTGTGTCCCGTGCTGCTCACGGATCTCCACTCTTCCTGTCATTTTGCTTGTAACGTGCTTTGAAGTTGTAACCCACTGTCTCTGTGAAATATTACATGCTGTTCACCTCCTTATTTCACAGCAGTCATGGAGGCAATAAAAAATGATGGTTCACCCTTGCAACAGTGTTTTCTGTTTCATCCCTTTGAATTGCTTCTGTTCCTTTTTGTGGCCAAAGCTGGTGGTTGCAGCATCCCCGTTCACCCTCACGTTGAGGTTCCTGGTTGATTCAGCCTGGTGACTTTTTACTCTTACTCCAACTTCCTCACTGAGAAGGAGCAGTTTTCATCACGGACCCTTTACGCAACCCAGCAATTAAATACTAATATGCTCATGTAAAAAAAGCCACACACTTCATCAGAGAGGTAAAAATGAGGGGGGTCTGCTTGGCACACCATCTAATTCACTGCCGAAGCAATGGGTGCAGTTTGACTTGTATCAGAAGCCTCCAAAACAAGCCCTGGGGAAAAAAAGTGAGGAAGAGGATTGAGGAATAGGAATGGCACAGCTAGTGCAGAGTAAGAGAGGATGCTGAAACTGGTGGAAGAGAAATGCTCTGGTCCATGGTCCCGTAGACCTTCAGAGATCCCAAGCATGGCAGATCTGGTCTTCCCCCAAGGGAGGCAGCTCCTGCAGGGCCTATGTGTCTTTGGCAGCCAGTGCTCAGTGATGCTCGGTGCCGCTCTGGCAGCTGAGAGGTGTTGGGAAAGACCAGAGAGGGGTGAGACCTCTCAGAGCTGAAGACTCTGACCCAGGGAGAAATGGGGATCGTCTGGCCAGGAATGCATGTCACATGGGAATTAGGAATGGGTTTGTAGCCATCAAGGCTGAGGGGAGACCTTATCGCCCTCTACAACTGCCTGACAGGAGGCTGTAGCGAGGTGGGGGTCTGCCTCTTCTCCCTGGTAACG